GCTTCTTCTGGCTTTTTTGCTATGCTGTATAATCCTTTTATAAATTTCACATGTAATGAACTCCCTCTGCCTCCCAATTACCTTATTTTAGCTGTGGTTCATTCTTCACTGCATCTTTCTAGTGCTAAATTCTTTTTTCATGAATCTGCTCTCTCAACAGTTCGAAACGCTCGTACGAAAAGGGAAAAGTGCTTTTTTCCTGACTTCCGTATCAACATCGGAAGAGTCAAAATGGCCGTTAGTTTGTTTTTAAGTAGTAACTAAAGAAGGGAGCTATTGACAGCTTCGCCATCAGCTAGTTGCCAGTGTTAAGGGCGACCACTCGGACTACTTTTGGTGCCTTCTTGACCACTCGTAAACAGTAATTACAGAGAGGGTTTTGACTTCTGACTTCGACTTTTTAACAGAGCCTACTCCCACAGCCTTATAATCATGATTCATTTGTAAGTAATTAAAAATTTTGAATTTGTTTTTGCAGGAATGGATGTATAAAAGGCCGATAATCAATATGAACGTAGATCGATGGAAGACCTATGTTCGTAGTTCACCACGAAATTATTCTATGGTTGTTATGTTTACCGCACTCTCGGCCGGTGTCAATTGCCCTATTTGCAAGTAAATCTTTTTCTACAAAATTTATATTTAAAATTATGGTTTACTTTTAAAATTTCGAAAAATTTTTGGATTGATACCGATGCGATGTTGAAAGAACACAGGGGAGGCCGTCACTGCGTTAGCAGATTGAGCACAGCTCAAAGAAGCTGGGAAAATTGTTTGGATCAACTGCAAATTGAAATATCTGTTTTGCTGTTCCCGAGATTTGCGTTATCTCTGCTGTTTTTGGTTTCAGGCCGGCTTATGATGAATTTTACATAATGGCTAATTCGTATCGCTATGCTTATCCGGAACTGAAAGCACTGTATTTCGGGATGGTTGACTACGAGGAGGCGCCGCAAATTTATCAGCAGATGAATTTGAACGTTGCACCGGTGCTTTATCATTTCCCAGCGAAAGGTGCCAAAAAACGTGCCGATCAAATGGATTTCCAACGCCATGGATTTGATGCGGATAGCATGGCAAAATTTGTTATGGAACGGACCGATATACAGGTACTGCATTCTT